AACCAGCGCAGAACCAGCAGAATAGCCACATAGTTTTATGGCGGCCTGGCCATCACTTACAGTGAGTACCAAGTTGATAATGCGGTGCTGAGCATTAGTGTTCCATAAATCATCATGCTAATCTGGTCAAAGTTTCATTACAGCTTCGCAGGGGTCACACAGCTCGCAGCACGGGACAAACGGAGGAGAAGAAGTCCGATGACACCTTTGATGCATTCGTCTTTGTGGACAGTGTTCAGGTTGGTAGGTAGCCTGGAACCACTGCTGCTAGAGGCTCGTAAGAACCAATGAATATGTGCCACAGTCTATCACTGTTGCACATTCAGAACTTTTTCAGTCTTTGAATGCAGAACAAACCCTCTTTTCCACTGGTCAAAAAACCCACTAAGACCCACATCAGGCTTTTGTCAGCAATGAAAAAGTGTTCAATCAACATTCACACCCAGGTCAAATGACTCTGCAGCAGACGCAGGTAATTACCAGCTCAGCATCGATGTAAACACGACACCCGGGTAAATGAAAGTAATGCAAAGTGAGAGCGCAGCCCTGAAGTAAGTTTTAAAAACACTCAATCACGGATTGAAGTGTCTCACACAGAGGCTCAGACACTACAGGAGCTCCAACCTGAAGATGAGACATGACAGATCTGATTTACCAGTTTACACAGCAGCTAGCAGCTCACTCTCTCTCCACTGCGTCTGTGTGTGTGTGCTCTGTAAGAGCATGTGATGACATCACTGCTCACAGTTGTGCGTATAAACAGAAAGAGACGCTCCTGAATTTTTCACAGTCCATTTTATATTTTATGTTTAAGTTTATGAATTTGCAGTAAGGCTGCATCGGAATATAATCGAGATTGCAACATGGCCAAGTTCAATATCCAAATCACAGGAGCTGCAACTGTTTTGATGAAGGTAAAATGTGTCACATTGTTGTACATTGTTAGCACCGTTAGCGCTGTGGTGCTACAGAGACGCCCCGGACAACAAATCATATTCTCCAGATGTAAATCGTCATCATTTTGTTTTATTCAGTAAAGTTTCAGTATACTCAAGATACCATTTATTATATTATTGGCTACAATAGTTATATTGTTCAAATTTGATACCATCACACCCACAGTGGGAAGTTGTATCGCTTCACCACAGCAGAACAATGACTGTAGTCGCTTTGCACAAGCAAAGATGGAGTTTCAGTGTTTCTCAGTGAGACACTGCCAGTTTTATTAAGCCACTTAACAAATTATAACTAATAAACCTATTTCATTAAGAAGGTAACTCTAGAGAGTGTAATCACCCTTCTTTTTAAATGTTCATCTTCTGGAATGTGTTTTATCCAGTGCACAGTTACAGGACGTGGGTCGTAATAAACAACATTTAATATAAAGCTGACACATCAGATCAGGTTAATGAAGGCAGTCCATCCTGCAGCCTGGAGAGAGAGAGCTCTCCTTTATCTCAAATTTCAACAGCTTCCACTTACAATTATGTGTCAGTGCATATATAGAGTTTTCTATCCATCAGAATGTCTGCCATGCCCGGAAAACCTCCAAAGGAAGGTGCCCAAGAGGCATCTTAATCAGATGTCTCTTGGGCACTTGAGCCTCTTAATCAGATGCCTGAACCACCTCCAACAGCTCATTTTGACCTGAAGGAGCAGTAGCTCCCTCTGGATGTTTGAGCTCCTCATCTTATCTCTAAGGCTGAGCCCAGACACCTAACGGAGAAAACTCATTTCAGCAGCTTATATCTACCATCTTATTCTGTCGGTCACTACCCAGAGCTCATGACCATAGGTGAGGGGTGGAACGAAGATCAACCGGTAAATCGAGAGCTTTGCCTTCCAGCTCAGCTCCCTCTTCACCACAGTGGTACGGTACAACATCTGTATTACTTCTGATGCTGCACAGATCCATCTGTAAATCTCCCGCTCCATCTTACCCTCACTCGTGAACAAGCCCCCGAGAAACCCCAAACTGCTTCACTTGGGGCAACAACTCACCCCCAACCTGGAGGGAGCAGTCCACCAGCTGAGAACCATGGTGTTAGAGTTGTAGGTGCTTTGTTGTATTCCCGCTGTGGTTTTCCAGCACAGTTTGCACACAGCGGTGTTCTGATATCGGTCAACCGCCACACCGACAAGCGGCTTCACCGGCTGCACTCATTTCCTCACTCCACACTTCTGTTAAACTGGTGCAGCCGGACAACACACCTGTTAAATGATCGGATGTTTGCATGTCTCTCATAGCACACTTCATTACAGAGGGATATGAGTCTTTTTAGGGGCCAGGGTGGGAGTACGCTCGGGGTTAGCAGAGCTGATGAATTTCAATAACAAAGTTGTGTAGATGTCTGTCTCCAGAAGGGACCTTACTCAGCAGTGAACCAACAGATCAGGTATCAAGTGTCCAGCTGTAAACGATGTGCAATTAATACTGTGGTAGAAAGGGGTTAACTCACACATGTAGCCCTAACAGGATTAAAATGACTAAACAGCACCTGCAATGATAAAAATCTAACTAGAAAAATAGAATTTATTCAGTAATTCACTGAGAGTTTCAGGGTGCTACAGACAGGGCATCGACGAGGCAGGTGGTGGTGCAGGGAGACCACACTGTTTCCATTCAGGGATGTTAGTGGTCATAATGTACTTTGTAGGAGCACACTGCTCAGGAAAACAAGTGGTTGAGTGAATTATTTCTTTGTGCTGGCTCAACATTCAGAGGAATGGGAGAAGCTGAGTAGGACTGACCTTTAACCTGAAAGGTCTTTCATTCAAATGTCATTCTGAAGTAATGGCTCCATTGAAGTTTGATTTGTAATGTGGTTAGGATTAAATAGCACCTGAAGAGACGCTGCTGATCATAACCTCAGACTGACTCCTGACTCCCTGAGCTACTCATGAGCATTGTCATAAAGCTAAAAACTGCTGTCTGCCTGATTTAAGTGAACTGTTAGTATGAAGTTTATTTAAAGCCTCGTGTTATTTCAATTAGCACTTTTGGTTCCACCCTAAGGTCCTCTGTGAATTCTGTGTATGACTCCTCAGATATCTGCTCATCTGTGGCAGTTAAAATTAGCAAACTGAACAAACAAACTTCAAACTAAGGTACAGCATGGCAGCTCACATACATGTTCATGTCCATTCTCAACCCAGGGAGGACAAATCTGTGACTGTGTCTCTGTCTTCTGCAGCAGATGGAGGGAGGTCAGGGGTGGGAGTCACACATTACATTTGCTCTCATTACTGTACATTACTTTTTGTGTGCCTGTACTTTAAAAAAAAAATAAAATCTATAATATTGTACTTTTCTACATTTAAAGTTAGATCCATTAAAGAGTAAGAATTAAAGTCCCATGAAAATGGTCATGGTCCCCCAGCTGTCTGTTTTTTTTGTGTGTGTGTGTGTGTGTGTGTGTGTGTGTGTGTGTGTGTGTGTGTGTGTGTGTGTGTGTGTGTGTGTGTGTGTTCCTGCACAGCCCTGGTTCTCAGAGTTTGTGCTTGTGCACTTCCTGATGTTTTAGTGGGCTGTACTGTGGAGTTTATATGAACTATGTGTTTTGTCTGGCTGGGTGATTCCTCTGCTAAAGTGGCGAGTTATTTCATTCATGTAGCCTGATACTGACTGTTGCACCTGCCACTGCGTCCACGTCTTTTTACCAGCTGCGACAGAAGGCTGGTATTGTTTTCACCTTGTGAATCTGTGTGTGACATCATGGTGCTGGTGACACCTACTGTAGCAGGAACTAGTAGAGGGTGACATGGGGGTGGATTTCCACTCCTGTCCCACCCCACTCCCACAAAAAACATTGCTGTCCTGTCCCCATCCCATGATGAAAAAAAAATAAATCCTGTCCTCTCCCAATCCTGGAAGGATGACTCCTGTCCCATCGCCTCAGAGGGTGCTTTGCTCACCACTCTCTCTTGCCCACTTCCTCCAATACCCGGACTGATGACAGTAGGTTGACAAATTTTACACATTTTTTGGCCATGGTAAAACAATATCATCAAATAAAGCATTAATTACTAATATTTATAATCTGAGCATTCTCAATAATCATTTAAAATCAGGAGGAGGAGGCGTGTAGAAACAACAGTTAACGACTTTCAGCTCTCTCTCTCTCTCTCTCTCTCTCTGTCCCTCTGTCCCAAAGATCTATTTACAACCTTAAAAAAACACCTACACACAACAAGCAGTGCTTCAGTGACAGGCAGCTGAGTGTGTGTGTGTGTGCGCGCGTGTGTGTGTGTGTGTTGCAAGAATCACTTGTATGCAGTTATATATGTGCAACTATGGCAGGGTAAATTAAACGTAATATTACATTAATACTACAAATTATAATAATAATAAGTTAATATATAAATGGGAAAACAAGTCAGTTATTGTCTTGACATTTGCAAAGGCATGAGCCATCAGCGATCGCTCTGATGATCGTCAACACCTCTGTTCAGCTGTTTTCTGGTTAGTTCTCGTTGGCTGTGCGGAGGGCAGTTTTATATAGCCCACTGACAATCAGCTGTATGCACAGACTGTAAATGTCCATCAACAGAAAAGGAATGTATTGTTGTTTATTGTTGCTCTGCTGCTTGATACATCCACATGTTAATACACTTTACTTTGAAGCCTAGAGGCCTTCTTTAATAGTTCTATCATATAACAACATCATCATCATGGAAACCTGCTTTCTTAAATCGGGGCAGAGGATGAGAAACCTCTTTTCCAGCTGGACTTCTTAACGTTGAGTGACACAAGATTGGGACTAAAATAGTTTTGGCAAGTGTTATATTGAGAGCTAATATTGTGTTCACCCCATTAAATTATAAGAGGACTAAAATGTGTAATGCCATGCAATTTATAATCTGGCTACCATGTTACAACACCAGGACATCCAGATGACTAAACTAACGACCTAACACTCCGCCATGTCGTGAAACATTTCAGAAGGCTGGATAGCTTCAGTGATGTCTAAAGTCAAAGACAGAGAAGTGTGCTGACTCACCTGGACTGGTTTTCCCTCCACTGTCACAAGACCTTCAGCTCAACATTGCTGGGAACATCTGAAAAATAAAAAGGACAGACAAACATCATGATTTTGCAAACAGTGGATATAAAACAGTGAGGAACCAGCAGGAGAAAACAGCAGTAGTTTTTGTGTTACTGTGAGGAAGCTAGCAGTCTCTATCTGATCTGAGGTTTTTGGTGTTCAGCTGGGTTGAGATCTAGTGACTGTGAAGGTCATAGTAGGAGTCATATTAGGGGTGTGCGATCTGGACTAGAAGATCATATCACTATCTTTTCAGGCAGAATCAGGAAGCACAATCTGAATCATGAGTCTCCCCCCACAGATTAAACTGGAAACAAACCCCCGTCACTTTTTCTCAAAGGCCCCACTCTCTCTGCATCCTATTCACGCTCTGATTTTATTCTGAAAGTCCTGACCAGATGTTCTGATTTGTATCCTTCTGCTGCTTTGATGCTGCTGTCTTCTGTTTACAAATTGTGTCACAACTCATCTCTTTTTGCTTAGTTGGAGTATGTATATGGAGTATTCTTGTTCTGCTCCGGTGGAGAACTGGTTCATGTGGAGTTACACCAAACTCAGCGAGGCTGCAGAGCGGAACAAGGACTGCTGTGTCCAGCTGCTGGTTAACAGTTAACATGGTCTGGTTAGCAGAGACTGAACCTTTAAAATAAATCTCTAACTATAAAAACTTTTAATGAGGCGATCTGTGCGACTGCCCTAGCTATAAGACCGCCAGATACCCCACCACTACTTCACATCGTCTTCGTATCTTCACCATTCAGTAAAGCCTTATTCCCTGTGGACGGGGGCGCTGCCATCCTGTTTCTCCACTCAGTATTGTTGGACAGCACATGTTTCGTTTTAGTGTTACGTTTTGATAAGTCAGCAAGGTGGCTGCTGAGCTGATTGAAAGTAATGGCTTGTAATATTTGTTTCTTAGATTTAGCACTCTAAGCCCTTGTTCTCTCAACTGTGTCCTTTTATCTCTACATTTATAAAACTAGATCATTATGTTGCTTCAGTTTCTGTTTTTTCTGGGTGGCAACAGACGGAGAGAATGTTCCGATGTTCTGCACTTTTGTTATTGTGAGCAAGTTTAATGAAAACACCACAATCAACAGTGCACAAGCCCATCTGTTACTGCCTAACATGTCTGAGCCACTCAGGCCCAGTCCCACTGGTTCTGACTGCAGATGTAAATCTTTTAAGACGGCTCACAAATAGTTTCTTTTTTTTTTTTTTCTTTTACAAAGGCACAGTAATTTACTAACACAGCGATTATTATTATTTTTAATTATCATAATTAAGTAATTATTATAATAAAGACTCAACTGCTATAATACACACACATGCACAGACACATGCACTTAACCAACACTTAATCCAACCCAATCTCCCTGGCTCCACAACATACAACACCCACATACAGCGGCTTCAAAATATCATCTGTACGTTTGCCCATTATTCATATTACATTAATGCACTTGTCTTCTGTCATTGTCACACTTTTTTAATCAATATGCTATATGTTAGAACCTGTCTACTACTATCTGATATGTTTCTTATTTTTTTTCTGTCACACTATTTCACCAATAATATTTAAAAAACAAAAATGGATAAAACAGCTGAGCACCAATAATTATCAAATGTTACTCAAACAGGAGGAAAGAGTGCATTTCTGTTGGGAACTATTTGTCATGACGGATTAATCCACATTTGCTGCTCCAGTGAGTATTTGGGACAACAAGACGATTCACGAGTCAGAATAACCAACACACACACGCACGCACACACACACACACACACACACAGACAGAAGCCACAGAGCAGAGAATGAAATGGACTTTAGATTATTTTTGACTCAACTCGATGACTCTGCTGCTCGTTATCATTAAGTGCACCTAATTCCTCCAGTAGGGAGACATTACAATTACTGAACAAGCAGAACATCCACTTATACAAATGTGACCATAACAACTGGTGCAATCCTGTAAAAAGCTATAAAATATATGAATCCAATTTTATCTAATCGGGTCATCTCATTCTGATCGTGATCCGTTTTTAGAGAGATTGTGTACCTGTGTGACTTGTTCCATCAGCTAAAATTAAAATCCTCTTCCCGGTGCAAAACACTGTCTTAATGATGAAAGTTCTGAGGCGCAGGAGTGGCAGAGATTACCTTTCTATAAACACACAAACACACAGGTAGAGTTGGTATGTGGGAAACCAGTGAGGAATCACATTCTGTGAAAATAAGCGGCTGGCAGCTCCGTGTGTATCAGAGCAGACACACAGTGTCAACATCCCTAATTCATCAATGTAATATACATCATAAAAATAAAAGCCTTGGTTGCAAGGTACCACCTGACCTACAGAGGGTGCAAATCACTAACTCAGCAAAGCAAGTGTGACCAACAGCAGGCTTTCCACTCTGCTGGTTTATCATGATTTTCTGACCTGACTTTTCTGAGAACAGCAAACAGAGATTTTCTTTAGAGGTGCACCAATCGATCGGTTCCCAGCGTGACTTGCTCTGACAGACTCTGTGCTGCTCAAATTTACGCACACAGCAGCGAAGACACAGCTACACACACACACACACACACAAAATGAGTACTGCGTGGAAGTTCTTCACTGTGAGTGAAGAAGACATAAAGCTTGCAATCTGTAACCAAGGCCAAAGTGAGCTGTGGAGGAACAACCACAAAACATTCAGAACAACAAACTTAACTACACGCTTATAATCACCCCACTGAACATGTGCAGTTTCAAGAAGATAAATTTAGAACCACACCACTGACCTCACCTGTGCAGGATGGCTACCTGTTGAACGGCTGCTGCAGCTTGCATGCCTGTGCGGGTGCCATTCACCTTGTTAATTAATACTTAACAGGCAATGCTTAACATAAGTACATACAATTGAGTACAACTGAGTTGTCTATTAAAGAAAACTTACAAAATGTTGGTGTAGCTGTCAATTACAGTTCTTAGGTGCATCTCTAGTTTTATGATATAAAATGTATTCAGTAACAAACTAGTAGAACCCATATAAATGTGTTTGTCTGATCTGATCTCAGTTCAGCTTCACCTTTGTGTTCACATTTTAAGAACCTTATGTTTCAAGTTGTGGGCTATAGACAGATCTACAGAAGGATGTGATGCTGAAAGCTTCCTTCTCACAGCCATCACACCCAAACAGTTACTAAATGAATAAAAGACAGATTGCCCTTTTCTGTATCTTCGGCTGGAAAATGATTTAAAAAGGACAAAAAATTCACAAGATCACAGGTAAAACATTCCGTCAGACTGCAGTAATGAAAGGACCCACTACTTTAAAGCCCAGAGGCTACCTAACAATTAATGAGGCTGCTGCACATCTCCTGCGTCCGTCTCCTGCTCTGTTGCTTCTGTTTCATCATCACCTCCAGGAGAAAGTAAAAGAAACAAGTGTAGAAAGGAAATCCACACAAACATAAAGAGGACATCATATTCCTACACAGACAAGGACACGACAAGGAATGTGCCTGTGACTTTTGTCATTTGAGGAAACAATGAATGTCTGAAAAGATGCAACAACATTAACGAGTCCAATGCAATCTGTTACAGTATGACTTCAATCTTTGCTATAATCTTATCTTGCCGTTTGACAGCACAAGTCCCAAGTTTACAATGTCAGGACTGGTCAACGCCTCATCTTCATAATGAAAAGAATAGGTCAAAACCTAGTACCTGTCTGGACTGTCTACGGTCAAATCCTGATTTTATAACTGTGAGATTGTCTGACAAAATCACCAAACACATATATGAAAGAAAGACTGAGCTGTGATTTCAGATTTCAGCTGGACTTACTGTAACATGATCACTTTTAAAAGTTACTTTATCAGAGAGAGAGAGAGAGAGAGCATGAAAAAAAGCAAAGCGCCCACAGGCTGGACTCAAACCTGGAGCCATCGCAGCAAGGACTAAACCCAAATGTCACACTTTCCACCAGGTGAACCACCGGGCCCAGAGACAGGCTATCTGAGACCTCTCTTCAGTCTCTCACACAGAGCACAGCCTCCGTCTGGATCCACAATAGTTTCATCTTTATTTACTTCAGCTGCATTCATACACAGTCCAGACCTGACCAGTGGTAGAAATATGAGTCAGTCAGTCAGTCAGTCAGTCACATTCCAGATTATAGGGCTGGCCCTGCTGTTGCGGACCGGCCAAAAAGGTCATTCTCAGCAGTTCACAAGTTTGGATGTTCTGTGTCATTAAATACAGTAGATACACAGTTTCCATGTGTGTAATTTTCTTATCAGTGACCAGTCACTGACTCAGATAACAATGTCTGCATTCATTGTGGTGTTTCTTGTGTCAGAGTCAGAGTATGCTATAAACCATTTCACACGAGCTTCCTCATGGTCTGAACCTGCCTATGTGGCAGTTTGTCTCCATTTCTCTATTCACGTTTGCATGGAAGAAAAAGTAGAAAAAGAAAAAGGGAAACATAAAAAGAGAAGTGCACACCCAAGTGATTGTCACTGACACTGACTAATTCAACAGCTGCATTAGTTGAAAATAGCAGTGACTTCTGCTGTTGCTTCCGGCAAACTACTGAGTTAAGCTAAATCTACATCATGGTGCATCTCTTCATTGGTGGCGCCCCTACACTGAAATGTGTACATAGAATGGAGTATCCTCAACTATAACAGTATCCAAAGGCCTCAGTGTACAGAGTCTGAAACCCCAAATTTTTGTAACTTTCCAAAAGAGACAATTCACTCATGGATCTTTTACACACACTTGTAGGTTATAGATGTGTGACGGTGTAAAAGTAAGTGGGATTTAAACACATTCACCTTTAAACATGGTAGGACGATGTGTTGTAAAAACAAGGTTGATTGAAAAGCGACACGTACCATGTTACATTGAAGTCTCGTCACCCGTGAATCAGATGTCCTGAGTCAATTCCAAAGACCAGTAGTGGCTAAAATAAAACTGATCAAAGTCCAGTCCTTTACCAGAATAAAGTCGGAATATTATGAGAAT